GGTGTGGCGACACATGCCTTTAATTCCAGTGTTTGGGAGGCAGAGGCAAGCGGATCTCTGTGGGATTGAATCCAGTCTGGTCTACATGGTCCCAGACCAACTGGGACTACAAGGAGACCCTTGTCTGAAAATACTACTACTACTACAGCCCCAACTGCTGCTACTACTACTACTACTACTACTACTACTACTACTTTTTATTTTATATTTTTTTATTTATCATTTTTGTTTATGTGTATTAGTGTATTGCTTGCATGTGTGTAAGTGCACCCATGTTGTGCACTGTCTGCGGAGGTCAGAAGAGGGCATCAAATCCCCTGGAACTGGAGTTAGAGATGGTTGTTAACTACCATGTGGGTACTGGAGATTGAACCCAGGTTCTCTGCAAGAGCAGCCAGTGCTCTTAACCATTGAGCCATCTCCAGCCTCCAAACTACCTTCTAACTCCAAATTCTCTATTGCTTATGCTGAGAAACCAAAATGTTGTTATATATGTGCAAGTCTAAGAACTTTGGTCATATTTTGAACATAGAGAAATACATTAAGTTTCCATTCTACTAGAGAGAAAATCCTTTTCTTTTCTCTTCTCTCCTTAAAGGAGACTTAGCATTGATGTCCCATGGACTTCTGTTGAAGTCAGGCTTGAGGGAGACGAGAGAGGTTCTGTATCTCATACAGCATGGTAGCAAGGTTGTCTGGGAAGTTAGAGTTATTCTGACAGGGGCTTATTATCTTTTATATATTTCACTATTTGAGATTTGTGTCATTATCAAGAAGGTTTTGCTTAGTAAGGAACAAAGGTGTTAAATACTTAGAAATTATAATTCTTACTAATAATCACCGATAGCACAATCAACTTGCATCTACTTCAGAGACCTGCCATTCTGCAGATGTGGATACGTAACTCTGATTATTAGGGGAGCCTCTTTTCTTCCTAAAGAGTTCTCAGGAAGCTGTCTTGTTCTTCCCTAGCTTTAAAAGAATACCACTTCGCTTCTTGAAAATTCTCCCTACCTCAGAATATTTTTATGTGCTGTACATCTTCCCAGACCATTATTTCCCTTCATCAGTGCTCATCACCTCCTGTCATTCATCAGAATCACTGAGGGATTTAAAAGAACACAACCAGCCGATGTTTAATCTCTGGGGAATGGGATGTGGGCAATTATTTGCAATCCTGCCACTTGGTGAAACACTCTCTTGGCTTGTTCTCCTGCTTCACTTTAGGTCTCTGCTCTAGTAGATCACTTCCTCAAACTATGGCTACCTTAGGTAAAATAGTACCATCCCCAGAACTTTCTATTCCTTTTTCTTCCTTTGTGTTTGTTTAAAGAACTTAGCACCATCTGACAGTGACCACCTTTGTATACTGTCAGAACAAAAGTATATGTTCACTGCTACATTTTAGTAGGCCTAAGTCAGTTCTGGTACACAGTAAATAATTCTGTAAATACTTTGAATGCATTTCAAAAATCTCTGTGCTTGTCAATGTTTGCAGTAAATCCCAGATGGTTTAGTGTCTGTAGTGTTTTCTTTTTTTTTTTTTTTAAGAACAGCAAGCCTCAAAGGTTAGCACAAGTTGGACTTTGTAGCATATGTTTGTAATAAAAAAATACTCAGGAGAATGAGGCAGAAGGGTTGGAAGTTTGAGACTAGCCTTGGTAACCTTGTGAGATTATTATCTCAAAATCACATTTTAAAAATGGGCTGAGGGTGAGACTGGAGAGATAGCCCAGTCAGTCAGGCATCTGCTGAACAAGTAGGAGAACATGAGTTCAGATTCTTACAAGCCACATGAAAAGCAAGACTACACTGGGTGTGGTGGCTTGCACCTTTAATCCCAACAAAACAAAAATATAAACAAAAAAAGCAAGACTAGCAGAGCATGCCTGTAACCCTAGCCTATGGGGTGGGGGTAGGGGAGAGACAGATCAGATCCCTGAAGCCCATAGGCAGTCTAGCCAAGCTTCAGGTTCAGTGAGGGATCATTTCTCAAAAAATAAAGATGGAGCATCACTGAGGAAAGACATTATACCCCCATTTCCTCTTTCTCTCTCTCTGACACACACATACACACACTCATACACATTCACATAGGGGTTGTGAATATAGCGCAGTGGTAGAAGAACTTGTCTGAGACTCTGAGTTCAGTCCACAATACCACAGTACCACAGAAATAGAACAAAACTTAAGCCAGGTGTGGTGGAGCACA